CCTCCCTCCCTCCCTCCCTCCCTCCCTCCTTCCTTCCTTGGTGTTACAGTGGTTAGAATGTAGTATTGCAGGCTGATTCTGCCCACTGCCAGCAGTTTGATCCTGACTGGCTCAAAATGGACTCAGCCTTCTGTCGTTCCGAGGTGGGTCAAATGAGGACCCGGATTGTTGGGGGCAAAAAGCTGACTCTAAACCGCTTAGAGAGGGCTGGAAAGCACTGTGAAGCGGGATATAAGTCTTAAGGGCTATTCCTTCTTTCCTTCCTTCCTTCCTTCCTTCCCCCCCTCACTCCCTCTTTCTATTCCTTCTTCCTTTCTCACCCCCTCACTCTCCCTCCCTCCCTTCCTTGGTGTTACAGTGGTTAGAATGCAGTATTGAAGACTGATTCTGCCCACTGCCAGCAGTTCAATCTGGCCATAACTTTAGGCCAATCACCAAGAGCCTGGTGGTTCTAGTCCCGCCTTAAGCATGAAAAACATAACTTTAGGCCAATCGCCAAGAGCCTGGGAGTTCTAGTCCCGCCTTAAGCATGAATAACGTAACTTGAGAACAATCGCCAACAGCCTGGGAGTTCTAGTCCCGCCTTAAGCATGAAAGCTGGCCGGGAACCACCACGGAGAAGCCCCTTCTCCCTGATCCTCCTTAAGAGGGGAGACATCCCTGTTTGGTGGGTGGAGATTTTCTCCATGGGAGGAGGAGGGGGGGCAGGTTGATCTTCTGACCCCCTATGCACTCCTTCTCCCCATAACCGTCCGGCCTATTTTAATTTCTCTTTCATTTTTTCTCTTCTTCCGCCAACAGCCCACCGGATCGATATGGACAGCTAATGCAGCAGCGGAGAGCAGCGGGTGGAGTGGGGGGGGGCTACCTTCTGCCCCAGCCTCAACAGACACGCCCCCCCCCGGCTTCCCTTCCTGGATTCGAAACAGCTTCCACACCCTTTGGAGAGACCTGGGGGGGGGATGAAGCGGCTTTCGCACCCGTGACCCTGGGATTGAGAAGGAACAGCCAACTTATTTTTACAGGTGCCCCAGGGTGCTTTCTCCCCACCCTCCCCATCACCCCAGGCACGCTGTGGGGGGCAGGAGGTGTCCAGGATCAACATCCTCCGCCCCCCACGCAGCCCCCCCTGTCAAAGGGGCAAGGTCAGTTTTAACCACTCAATCGTCCCAACACTTCCGACATCCGGCGTTTCTTTCGACCTCCGTATTTTTTCGGATTCTCGCCACCTCCAGCGGGTAAAGCTCGCTGACCTCATCTCTCTCTCTCTCTCTTGTAAAAAACATGAAAAAGAAGGGGGGGGGAGAAATCAGCCGTCCACCCGATTAGGGACCAGAGACGGGCAGCGTGACCCTCTCCGCGCTTCATTCCCCCGACGGGATCCCGCTAGCCGCCTTTCTCGATCAAACCAGGATCTTCTCGGTTGGGAGCCGAAGGAAGTTAACTCCGCCTACGGGATCAGCCGCCCTCACCCGCCAAGAACCCAGTGCTATTTAAGACTCCCGGCGCTTGCTCGGCCCCCGCGAGGGCTTGCGTGGACGATACGCCAGATGCAAGACCAAGGCCGTCATCCCCTTCCTCAGCAGATGGGCTCTTTGGGGAAAGATACACACCCCCCCTCCCCACTTTCCGAATCCCCTTCCCCTTCCGAAAAAACCATCCCGGATGCTCCGACGCTGGAAAACCCGCCGGCTTCTCCTCAACGCCGCAAAGGCCGCGTGGCCGGGTCTTAAAACAAGGTATTTCTCCCGGATTTTAAGCCAATGCCCGCCAGGCAAGAAAACAATTGGTGTTTTGGTTCACACACAGACACACACTTCCCAAATCCTCCTTTTTTTCCTTGTGCTGCCCCCCCCTAATTTTTCAACTTCCAAAGGCTGGGATAATAATAATAATAATAATCCTCGTAACAGCCCTTTTCGGCGCTTGTTATTCCACCCGCTGTGGTTTTATTCCCGTTCCCCTCTCAGATCTTGGCGACCGATCGAGATCCACAGCTAGCACCAGGAGGGTCCCCCCCCTCCGGGTTTTTTGGGGGTGACGAACAGCAATGTTGCGGCCCTCCCCTCCCCACCAATGAGCTCCTGGGGTGTGGGGATGTGGGGAGGGGGGGGTTGCCTCTGGGTTTTTCCTGTAACATCCAAGGACAATAAAAGCAACCCCGTTTTGTGACGGACGGCGTCTGTGTGAGGTGGGGGGGGGGTGGAGTTGGCACCGCCAGAAGAGTGGTTGGGGGTGTGTGTGTGTCAAAATCTCCGCGTGGATTTACCGCTAAATTTGCGGTTCGGAACGTAAGAATCGCAAGAGCTGGAAGGGCCCTCCAGAGGCCATCCAGTCCAACCCCCTGCTCCAGCAGGAGACCTGACAGCCATCCGGATGCCAACGGCTCTTCCGTAAGGCACCTGGGTTGGGTTAAAGGGGTTGATATCTGAACTTCTTCTTTCATCTCACCCCAAAGCGCTTGTGAAAAAGGTTTTTTTAAATTTTTTTTACCAACATTTGAAATGACTGTTGAAATTAGGTGGTGGTGGGGCCTAGTAGTTAAAGGCACCCAAGCTAGAAACTGGGAGAGAGTTCTAGTCCTGCCTTGGGCATGAAAGCCGGCTGGATGACTTTGGCCCAATCACCAGGAGACGGTGAGTTCTAGTCCTGCCTTAGGCATTAAACTCAACTGGATGACTTTGGCCCAATCACCAGGAGACGGTGAGTTCTAGTCCTGCCTTAGGCATGAACAACGCTGTCTGTCTGTCTCTCTCTCTTGTCAAAATCCAGGTGTTTGGCAACTGTCTCATATTTACGACAGTTGTAGTTTCGGGGGGGGGGAGGTGTCACATGTTCTCCTTTTGTGTGTTTCCTTCTGACAATAGCAGTTAAACTTATATACCGCTTCATAGGGCTTTCAGCCCTCTCTAAGCGGTTTGCAGAGTCAGCATATATCGCCCCCAACAACAATCCGGGTCCTCATTTCACCCACCTCGGAAGGCTGGAAGGCTGAGTCAACCTTGAGCCGGTGAGATTTGAACCGCCGAGCTGCAGAACTGCAGTCAGCTAAAGTAGCCTGCAGTGCCGCACTCTAACCACTGCGCCACCTCGGCTCTACGAGCAAAGTTGATGGAGATTCATGTAACATCCCACATTACTCACTTAACAATTACTCATCCTAACAACTGTGGTGAGAAAACTCGTAAAACGGGGCAAGGCTCGTGCAATGAACGTTTCACTTAGCAACATACATTTTGGGCTCCATTGTGGTCGTTAAGTCGAGGACTACCTGCAATCTAATGTCGGGCTGCAATTATACCCCGAAATTACTATGTCACCTGATTTCTTTGTATTAGTTTTAAGCTTTTTTTTGAGGGGGGGAGGGAAAGAAGGCAGCTGAGCGAGGGATTCGAACTCAAGAGAACGGCATTCCATAAAACAAATCATTTTAATTATCGTTTTAAAAAATTAAAGCTCTTGAACTGAGATTGTACACAGACGAAACCCTTTTGACACACGGCTGCTCCGGGGGGCCCGAAGACCCAGCGCTTTTGGCTACGGGGGACCCCCTCTGCGCCCGACCAAGAAGGGAAGGAATGGAAAATCAGTCCTGGCGTCAGATTCCCTCCAGGCACGCCAGCCAGAGGTTTCCCAGTGGCTGGGTGGTTCCCCCGCTGAGAGAGAGAGACCCGAGCGGATCTCGCAGGATCCACGAATCCACCCTTCGTGGCCAAAGGCTTCACACCACAACACCAGAAACGGACCAGGAATGTCAGACTTAATCGTTCAAAGATTACGGGGAAGCGGAGTGGGGGGGGGCTTCCCCACTCTTTCTGCCCCCTCCCAACCCATCGGAGGAGACAAAGGCAGTCTCTGAAAGTTCAAAGGCAGCACCGACCGACAGCCGAACCGAGGTCCACCCCTCCCTCGCCCCTCATCCCGTTGGGCTGTCCCAGCTTTACGGACCCTCGGCTCGTTCTCGAAGCACCAGGAGGAAAAAAAATATATTATCTTCCTGCCAATTCCGCCCCCCCCCTTTTTTTACGGCCTTCTCAGTCCGAAATCAGCTGAGTCTCGTCGCTCGTCTGGAGAGGATCGGTTAGAGGGGAAGGTTTCCCGCTTCCCAATGCACCTACGGTCCAAATAATGTATAGATATATATTTGCATCGTTCTCGTCCTTCCAAGCTCAGCTGGTGGGATTGAGCGGGCTCTTTGGACTAACCTGTGCGGGGATAGAGAGTCAAATTCTACGAACTGTCCCGATCTCCAACTCTGTGCTTCAAATAACGAGAAATTATATATATATATATTTTTCTCATCTCCTGTAGAGAGATCCTTTGGGTGATCCGTTTTGCACCTCGATCCCTCCGCGAATGGGGTGACCGGTCAGGAGGTCCCAGTTATTGATTTCCCTTTGTGCTCCCGAGACAAGGAAACCAGGAATACCCTCCCAGCCCCCCCTCCCTTCGCCCCAACTTTTGCAGCCGGGAATCCGTTCCAACTCCCGACGGGAAATCCGGCGATCCTCCGGAAGATCGGAGGCGTCCTTGGGTCTCGCTCGCTGCTCCCACCCCTGGGCCTACCGACTCCGAAACTCCCAAATTTCGAGGTTTTGGCACCGCCAGCTCTCCAGCCGGCTTACTCCAGGAAGTGCCGGCGGGAACCCATCCGGGAACGGCTGGACCGCCGGATGTCAAATTTGGAATCGCGGCATTTCTGGCAGACGTAAACCTCGGGAACGTTGGATTTGCGGATTTTGGCACAGGAGAGGTGGATCCAGGTGTGGCATTCTTTGCATTCGATCATGGGGCGCCCGGCGAAGGGTTTCATACAGAAGCAGGTGACCAAGTCCCACGAATCGTCATCTGCCAACGTCCAGGGAAAAAAAAAGGGGGGGTTTCATTGGAGGAGAATTTCCAGGAGGGTCAGAAAAGCGGGAAAGTTTTGGGATTAAATTGTTTTTCAGCTCTAGGACAAGCAGGGTTTAATGCGCCCAACTGGCATCTGTTTCTCTGCCTTTGGTATATTAATTCATTTATTATCCTGCGTTTGTTGTTTCTATAACTATTCCACGATGGCAGACATACCCAATATTCCTCCCTCTTCCTGTTTTCCTCCCAACAACACCCCTGTGAGGTAGGTTGAGAGAGAGAGACTGGCCCAAGGTCACCCAACTAGCTTTTATTGCTAAGGCGGGACTAGAACTCACCGTCGCCTGATTCCGAATGACACTCCCTTCTCGGCATCAACCAGCTCCCTTCCTCCTCTACAGCAGCATTTCTTAACCTTCAACATGCCTGGACTTCAACTCCCAGAATCCCTCAGGCGGCCTGGAGAATTCTGATAGCCGGAAGTCTACGGGTACCGGCTGGGGAATTCTGGGAAATTGAAACCCACCCATCTTAAAAACCGCCAAGGTTGAGAAACGCTGCTGAGGAGATACCCCAAGGGCCTGTAACCCCACTGACACCCCCACCCCTCTGTCCCGCTCCCCGCTATCTTCATACGGGGCTCCGAGGGCGAGAGGTTCCCACAAGCCTTACCTGAATCAACCATGATGTCCTCATCGTCTCCGCTGCCGTCCTCGTCCCGGAAAACCACCTGTTTCCCTTGCCGTATGATGATCCTCTTGCCCACCCTTTGGACGAGGCTCTGTTCCTCCGGCGCGGCGGCCGTGTAGGGGGGATTCGACGGGGTGTCTGAATCCCAGGCCGAGCAGCGGCCTGTGGAAGACTGGGCATCCCCTTCGGAGGACGGGCTGAGCGGGTTCTCGGTGTACGGCTCTTCTCCTCCTCTCTCCCGCAGACCTTCCTCCTCTTCGTCTCCTCCGGGATATTTGACGTCCGGCAGCGCCGCATCCTTCCTCACAATCCGCCGTTTCTTCCGGAACTTCTCCATTTTTTTCCGGTCCACCAAAAACCCATTGGGCTTTGTCCACTGGTAGAGCGAGGAATAAGCCTTGCCGTGTTTGAGTTGGCTGAAAGTCTTCCGGGCTTTTGAGAGGTGTCCCAGAGGGGGGTCCCCTCCATCACTGTCAATAGCCTCCCGGGTACTGTTGGGGGAACTGGTGCTGCTCCAACCGGATGTATCCTGCAAGCACGGGGAAACTCTTTAAAACAGCCGCATCGAGTTATTTCCTTTAGAACTATGGAACGTCAAGGCTGGGGGTGGGTGGGGAGGAAAGCACCTCCTTTTGGCAGCTCTTTAAAGCTGCCAGAACATTTCCAAGGGTGTGGGAGGAGTCATCAAGGATGGCTGTGTGATTGCAGGAAAGATGCAGTGGCTTTAAAAAGCTCCAACTGCGGCTGTTTCCTTCCCCCTTCTGCCCTATTTCTGGATATTTTCTCCAATACCATGAGGATCCTCTCCTCAGCCTTTGCAGAAAAGATGTGGCAACTTTAATGAGTTCCAGAATTGCCCCACGTTTTCCCCACCCCCCAGCCCATTTCTGGATCTTTTCTCAAGCACCATAAGGGATCCCGAGAAAAGGTTCCTTAGTGGCTGTGCAATTGAAGGAAGCATGCAATCACAGAAGAGATGTGGCTGCTTTAAAGAGTTCCAACTGTGTTCCACATTTCCTTTCCCTTTCATCCTGCCCTATTTCTGCACCTTTTCAAAAGCCCTACAAGGGTCCTGGGGAATAGCCACACTTGATGGCTGTGCATTTGCAATGGCAAAAAGACACAGCAACTTTAAAGAGTGCCAGCCATGGCCGAGTTTCTTTACCCCCATCCATTTCTGCATCTTTTCTCATATACAACAAAGGGTCCAGGGTGGGGTGGGAACAGCCACTCTGTGCCGCTTTAATGAGTCCAGCTGTGACCCACATCCACTCCCATTCTATTTCTGCATGTTTTCTCAAATCCCCAACAAGGGTCCTGGCAAAGAGCCACTCTTAATGGAAGTGCCTTTGCAAGCAAGATGCAGCTGCTTTCACAAAAGATGCAGCTGCTTTCAGGAATGTCAGCCATGCCCCCAAGTTCCTGCCCACCCTTCCGAACCTTTCCTCATCCACTGCAAGAGTGGGAGACAGTCCCTCTTCTCTGTGGCTGTGCAGTGGCACAAAATATATACAACAGCAGAAAAAGATGTGGCTGCTTTAAAGAGTTCCAACCATACCCCAAGTTCTCACACTTCTGCATCTTTTCTCATATACTACAAGAGACCAGGGTGAGTGGGTGGAACAGGCACTCTTTGGGGCAGTCCAACTGCACAAAAGATGTGGCAGCATTAATGAGTCTGGCTGTGGCCCACATTCTCCCCCCCCCCCAATTTCTGCATCTTTTTCTCAATCCCTACAAGGGTCCTGGCGAAGAGCCACTCTTCAGGGCTGTGCCCTTGGCAAGCAAGATGCAGCTGCTTTCACAAAAGATGCAGCTGTTTTCAGGAGTGCCAGCCATGCCCCCAAGTTCCTGCCCACCCTTCTGAACCTTTCCTCATCCGCTGCAAGAGTGGGAGAGGGAGACAGTCCCTCTTCTCTGCGGCTGTGCAGTGGCACAAAATACACAACAGCAGAAAAAGATGTGGCTGCTTTAAAGAGTTCCAACCATGCTCACACACACACACCCCTTCCCAAGCAGACGTCCTAATCTTTATCCCCCTCCCCGTTTTCCAGGGATGGGAAGCGATCTTTGTCCCTTTGCAGTCCTAGACAAAGCCTCCAAAACCGGGGCTTCAACCCCCACCACCACCACCAATTCTCCTCTAGCCCCCCCTCCCAACCCCTTCCTTCCTCCCACTCAGCTGTTCAAAGACAAGACACTCTTGGCCCATCCAAATGCCCAGGGCAGCTCCCCCCCCCCTCCCGCAGCCGGCCCTGCCCAGCCGGACTTTGCAAGACTCTTTCCCCAGCGTCCGCCCCAGAAAAGAAGCCCCCCCCCCCGCCCACCTCGTGCGGGTACGGGATGTAACCGGCGTAGGCCAGGACGAAGGTGCAAAAGTTGTTGAAATCCTCCACCGTCCGGCAGCGCTTGGAGCCCGGGGGGAAATCCTGCGAAGAGAGGCGGGGAGGGGGCGGTGATGATTTGGAGGAGTTGGGGGGGGGGGGGTCAGTGCGCGGAGGCGGCGGCGAGGAAGGCGCAGGGGAGGGAGGAGGGGGCGGCGGTGAAGTGTGTGCGTGGGGGGGGATCCTTTCCCCCGAAGGGAGGGGGCCGCTTTGCAACGCCCGCGGGTGGGGAGGGGGCGCTCGGCAAGCAGCAGCAGCAGCAGCCCCCCCCCCCCCCCACAGACACTCAATAGGCTTCCGCTGCTCTCCACCCACGGGGAAGGAATCGGGGCGGGGGGCTCACCCGGGACCCCCCTTCCATGCAAACGGAGGAGGCAATTGCTACCTCGCCAGCCCCCCACCCACCGATCAAGGCTGGAGGGGGGAAGGGTCTCCACCCTCCTCCACCCCCTCTTCTCAAAGCTGCAAGGCAGAGGTGGGTGGGGGGCGCAGAAAGAGAAAAGGGGGAAGGGGTCCCCTTTCTGCGCCCCCCCCTTTTCTCTTTCAAACGCCCCCTCCTCGTTGCATGCCAGCAAATCTGCCCCCCACCCCGGGGGGGTCCTTTTGCAGCAGGACGGGGGGGGCTGGTTGGTCCCACTCCCCCATCTCCGTGGGCGTGGCCAGGGGTGCCCAGTGTCAGCCCCCGGGGAGGGGGGTGCCCCAGTGGGGAGGGGGCGGCAAGACTCACTTCGTGGGGCGGCGGGGAAGCGCAGGAGTCCGAGTCCATGGCGGGGGTCTCCTCCGGCGGCGTCGCCCGGTACCGGCAGCGGGGTCTGGGGTGGGCGGGGAGTGGGGGAGCCCCGCCCTGCCAGGCTAAGGGGAGACTTGCCCCCCCCCCCATCCCGGGCTCCGCCTCTACTCGCAGCTGGTACGCCTGCGCAGCGCGCCAGGCTTGCCGGGAATCGTAGTTCACGTTCGGAGTCAGCCCGCTTAACTCTCAGCGGACGCATGCGCACGGAGAGGCGTGGCTCGGCGCGCAGGGCACGCCGGAAAATGTAGTCCGAAGCCTCCACTGGGTTTTGCCAGCCGTTCCCTCCCTTGCTTAAAAATGGAGCAAGGATTTTTTACTATTTTATTTTATTTTATTATTCAATCCCCCCCCCCCCCTTGGCCGACGTGGAGTTTCTTCGTCCATTAGGATCCTGCACCCGAAGCAGCCGAGGGGATGCGATGGGAGAGTGTTCCTCCCCTCCCCCCCATGAGGACTAGAAACTTGGCACCCTCCTCTTAAAATGAATGACGCTCGTTTGCATTTCAAGGCCGGGTGCTCAGCGGCAAAGAAAAGAGAGATGATGGGCCATAGCTTGGAAAAAGAGCCGATTTTCCCCCAAAGAACGAGAGTGGGAGGATTGACACCTTTTGTGTTGCTTTTGATTGTGTGTCTTTCTGTGTGTCTGTGTGTGTGTGTCTGAAGTTGGAGGGATTTGGCTCCAGTGCATCACCTGGGGCGGGGGGGGGGGGTTGTCAGAAAAAGAACCTGCTGCATCCATATTTTTTGTGGGGGGCCTTGACAAAATTTAACAAATCTGCACAAATTGTCTCTCTTTCAAACGCACAAACCAACTCACAACTCTGGGCTCAACGGCTTTTCCTGAGCTCCCCTCCAGTAGATTCTGAAGCAAGGAGATATTTTGAAGCCGGTCCTCAACTTACGACCACCACCGAGCCCCGAATTTTCTTCCTCAAGCCAGACACCCGCCCCACTTTTACGACTTTTCTCGCCACGGTCGTTGAGCGAATCCCTGCCGTTGTTGAGTGTCACCACGAAGGTCGCAAAAGGAGGGAAATCAGGTGAGCCCCCCCGAAATAACCGCAACCTTCATAAGTACACGCCAGTTGCCAAGCCTCTGAGTTTCGCTCTCGTGATTCACGGTCATAAGTGTGAAAAACGGTCTTAAGTTGTTTTTTTCCCCTCCCCAGTGCCGTTGTAAACTCAAAACGGTCGCTAAATGGGCTGTTTGTAAGCCGTGGGTTTCCCTGTATTAAATTTCCGTCCTGGCTTTGATGCTTTATAACGTGGGGTGTAAACAACTTGAGAAGGACACCGACAGGTGAAGCTGGGAAAGGAGACCCCCCAGGAGCAACCTCTGGATCCGGAAATGTCAGGGACCCCCCCCCCCCAAATAACAGCCCTGCTTCCGTTCTTGAACGCGGTCCCCCTCCCTCCCCCTCGGGGGTTCCCCGATCCTCTTAAAGGGACAGGAATCACCGACAGTCCTCCTTCTCTTCCTCCTCCTCTCCTTTTTCTTTTTCTCCTCTTCCATCTCCTCCTTTTCTTCTTCTTCTCTTCTTTCTTTTCTTCCTCCATCTCTTCCTTCTTCTCTTCCTCTTTCTTTTCTTCTCCTCATCTCCTTTTTCTTTTTCTCTTCCTCCTCTTCTTTTTCTCTTCTTTCTTCTCCCTCCATCTCTTCTTTCTTCTCTTCCTCCTCTTCTCTTCCTCCTTTTTCTTTTTCTCCTCCTCCATCTCTTCTTCTTCTCTTCCTCTTCTCCTCCTCCTTTCTTTTTCTTCTCATCTTCTCTTTTCTTCCTCCTCTCCTCTCCTTTTTTCTCTTCCTCCTCTACTTTTACTCTTTTCTTCCTCCTTCCTTTTTTCCTCCTCCTCCTCTCCCTTTTCTTTTTTCTTCCTCCTTCTTCTCCTTTTCTTCTTTTCTCTCCTATTCTTCTTCTCTTCCTCCGCTTCTTTCTTCTCTTCTTGCTCCTGATCCTTCTCCTCCTCTCCTTTTTCTTTTTCTCCTCCTTTTCTTATTCTCTTCTTTCTCTTCTTCTCTTCCTCCTCCTCTTCTTCTCCTCTCCTTTTTCTTCTCCTCCTCTTCTTCTCCTCCCTTTTATCCTTCTTCTCTTCTCTTTTTCTTTCTTCTCTTCCTCCTCCCTTCCCCTCCTCTTAACCCCCTCCTTCCCCTTATTCTTATTCTTTATCGTTTTATACAGACAGCGGAAAACCGAACAAAACTTAAAAAAGGCAAAGTTGAATTAATGCAGAGGAAGCTTAATGCAGCCAGTCCTCGACTTACAACCATTCACTTACTGACTGTTCAAACTTCCATTTTTAACCCTAGCAACAGCAATAAACAAAAATAATAATAATCTACAAAAAAGAAAACGAGGAGAGTCCTGAGTTCCAGTTCTCTGCAGCTTTTAACAGGAGCCTCTAAAAGGGGCTTGAAAAAGAATTGGAGGGGGGGGGGCACTTGAACTGATGCAGGAAAAGTCCTCAGCTTAGTGACCGTTCAAAATTAGACTTAGGATGTTTTTCCTTACTTACGACCATCCAGCATCACCCGTAGTCGCAACTCCGACGCTTGGCAATTACTCGTACTTACGACGGTCGCAGTGTCCTGAGTCATGTGTGACCCCCCCTTCTGGCAAAGCAAATTCAAGGGGGGAAGCCGGGTTCGCTTAACGGCCATGTCCCTAACTTAACGACCACAGTGATTCCCTTGGCAACGGTGGCAAGGAAGGGCGTAAAACGGGGGCACAAACCCACTTAACGCCCGTCTCATTTAGCAATAGAAATTTGAAACTCCTTTCTTGGCAGCCACCAAGCGGGCACATGCTACTTCCCCCCTCCCCCCCTGTCTCTGGAGGGCGTTGATAGCTCAGATTGTCTCCTTGCCAAGTGCCACGTTGGCACCGGGATGAAGTCATGGGGGGAGATCCAAGGCCTCATTCCCCAACCAGGCGCCCACGAGGCTGCTTTGATTTGCAAGGATTTCAAGGGCGAGGGGACGGGGGGCAGCACTGCTTGCCTTGGGCTGCGCTGGCTCTCTTGGGGTCCTTGAAGGGCAGCCCCTCACCCACCCACCCACCCCCGTGAAAGTGTGCATGGGGAGGAGGGGGCTCAGCCCACAGGCAAACCCCCCACCCAACCAGTGGTCCATGAAACTCTCCCAATTTGCAAGATGTTTCCAGGTAGATCTGCCCGTTTTTGGCTCCGAATAAGCGCTGGGGAGGGGGACCAGCACAGGGTAGCCCCTACCCCCCCCAAAAAAAAAACCTCTGCAACGGGTCACCAGGCTGCATCCCACCTGGGGCCCACGAAGCCCCCCCCCCATTTGCAGCCTTTTGTCTCCTAACCAGAATTGGGGAAGGAAAATTGGGGTAGCGCAGCCTCCTTTAATAGCCGATTCTACTCTTAAATCACGGGGTGGGGGAAGCAATCCGTGCAGGGCAGCCCCCCCCTCCAAAAAAAGTGTGCAACGGGGCGCTCATCTCAGGTTGCAACCCCTTCCCCAACCGAGCGCCCGCTTGACAAGAACTTTATAAATCAGCGGAGAGGGACGCCCTTACAACAGCCATCATCAGTCAGAAGGGACCTTGGAGGTCTTCTAGTCCAGCCCCCTAGCTCAAGCAGCAGACACTAGTGGCCCCTTCCAGACAAGCGGCTGTCCGGTCTGTTCTTCAAAACCATGAGGATTGGGGCACCGCGGGTGGGTGGGTGGGTGGGTGAGGGAGGATCCGCTGCAGCCCCCTCCCCAGCCCCCAAAGGCCGGATGCCCTTCCTGTTGCCAATGCGGAGTTTATTGTAATATTATCTGACCTGATCTTATCTTGATAGCCCAGAAAGAAACTACAGGCGGTTCTCGTCTTACAACGGTCCATTTAATGACCGTTCAAAGTTACAACGCCCTGGAAAAAAAAGTGACATCCAGGTTTGTTTTTGTTTTTTTACACTTATTCCACCGTCGTTAAGTGAACCGGGCTTCTCCTTTGCTTGTCAGAAGGTCACAAAAGGAAGGGGGGTGGAATCACGTGACCCTCTTGGGACACACACACACACCCTCCCTTCCCAGTCATACATGCGAACCAGTTGCCAAGCCCCTGAATGTGGATCCCGTGACCAACGGTCGTAAGTGTGGGACAAAACGGCCGTAAGTGCACTTTTCTGGGTGCGGCTGCTGTCCCTGGTTGCAATTCGAGGACTGGCTGTAAACTGGATCTCTGGCTTAGCCTTAAAAGAACCTTTTCAGCTGAAAGAGCCGAGGTGGCGCAGTGGTTAAATGCAGCACTGCAGGCTACTTCAGCTGACTGCAGTTCTGCAGTTTGGCTGTTCAAATCTCACCGGCTCAAGGGTTGACTCAGCCTTCCATCCTTCCGAGGTGGGTAAAATGAGGACCCGGATTGTTGTTGGGGGCAATATGCTGACTCTGTAAACCGCTTAGAGGGGGCTGAAAGCCCTAGGAAGCGGTATATAAGTCTAACTGCTATTGCTATCATCTATCTATCTATCTATCTATCTATCTATCTATCTATCTATCTATCTATCTATCTATATCTCTGTCTGTCTGTCTGTCTGTCTGTCTATCATCTATCTATCTATCTATCTATCTATCTATCTATCTATCTATCTATCTATCTATCTATATCTC